AAATCCATATCTGTTGGTGCTTCAGCATATTAAACCCACTTTTGGGGTTTCGGCCTTACTAGTAGGCTTACGCACAAGGGTTTTTTGATTTACTATGTACGCCATAAATTCTAGCGCTCAAATCTAGCCAAGAGAAAAAAGTAGTAGGCCTACATAGGAAAGAATGGGTCTATGTGTCACAGTGTGTCGCAGTGTAAAAAATATCTGCAGCACCACAGTGACGTAATGAGAAAAAAAAAACTTTGACGTGTTTTTGGATTAAAACATCGACTTTTGCACTGTATTTTCATATGGTATTTATTTATGTATTCTAGTTGTCCTGGTCTCATTGTATAGAATGAAGAATATTACAGAAATTGAGATGATTTTGACTGGTTTTACAATGAAAAGTACTTGAATTGAGCTCAAATTGCAGAATGTGTCGATTATTTTACCAAAGTTCAAAGTAAACAAATCATGCTAAGGTCCAATACACATCAACTGTGTGAGTATATATTCTTTCACAAGTGGACGAGATTATTTATACAATTTCACACTATTCAGTAGTCTGCATAACAGTAAATCTTTTTTTTTTTTTTTTTTTTTTTTTTTTTTTTTTTTTTTTTTTTTTTTTTGTGAGAAAAAATGAAAGTGGAAAGCAAACGAAATGTAAGTGGTGACTGGGGATGTGACGAATGTACAGAGGAAATGTTATTTTTAGTGCCAGGAATGTCTTTCTTGTTTATTCTGGACCCTATTGGACATTGCATCTTTTGAAATTTGTGTGAATTGGGCAAAATTGTTAAATTTCGACCAACTTTATTGGATAGTGGAAATCGGTCTAAATGGGTGGTTTTATGTACTCATTCGATAGAAAAACGGAATTTAGCGAACTAGTTATGATTTTTTGTCGACTAGTACATGGAGTGGCAGAAAATAGGGACTCAACATGGGCAAATAAATCGCCAATGCGTTAAACAGCGTCGAGAACGCTAACTGCGTGAGCATAATTTCGTAAGTTTTCCATTTCAATTTCAATTACTTTGGTGTCAATATGATCGGAAAAAAAGATTCTCTATCTTTTCATACGTTTTTTTTTTTTTTTTTTTTTTTTCGTGACACTTTGGGGCCAATCAGGTGGCCCCAAAGGGGTTAATGCAAAAGTTCTCGGGATTACCATCATGTTTAAAATTCCTCCTTTGGTAATACCTCTCCTGTAATTGAGACATAAAATGTTCCATTCACTTCCAGCAGCCTTCCTATTGGAATCTGATCTCCCTGCTCTTGCAGCCCAGCCTGGAACTGGTTTTTCTGTTTGCCTTCCTGTTCAACAGGGCTTGTTGCTGAGGCCGGTAGTAGTTCTCATTCATCTTGAAGACTTTTACACTTGTTCCGTAATGTTTTGTTATAAGTAATAGCATGTTGAACACCATGGCTTGTGTATGTTGAAAACCTCCTTATTGTGCGCAGCTTTCATTCCTTTCACTGGGGTTATTTTATACTTACTTTCCATTATCTCCCACTCTTACATTATTGCAGGTGCATAGGTTTGGGACTAGGCTTGGTTCAAGGGAAGTCTCACATGGTGGAGGGCTGTTAATCTGAGGAATTGGGATTCTGGTCTCCTTCTTCGAATGAATTGAATTACGCCACCTCCCTTCCCTCCCCTCCTATTCATCCAGACTTGGGGATGTACCCTTGTGTAAATTACGCATCCTAGGACATAGGGAATATAGATCATTGCTCATCCTGTCACGGCTTGCATTTTTTTTTTGTTTTTTTTTTTTTTTTTTTTTTTTTACTCCAGAGTGCTCGGTACCCTCAGGCCCCAGTTTTACCCTCTTTTGCAGTCACCTTATGAGGCCCTTTCTTCTGAATGCTCCTACCTCTTCGCTTTCCTATCCACCTTCCTTTGTATTTCCATATGTGTTTCTCCATCCATACAGCCATATTTCTTCTTTTCAATTCTCCAAAACCCAAAAGTTCCCAATCGCCTAAAATCCCTCCCAGCTGCTTATTGTTTCCACACATTAACTTTTCATAACCTCTGAGTCTTAATCCTTGTTTTCTCTTGTGTTGGTGACATTGGCTTCTCTTTGGCAGCTACCAGTGTTTATCTACTCTTTACTCTACTTCTTCTTCCCTCTCTTGCACCACCACTTCCTATTATCTGCAGAAGAAGTATGAAGTCGTATCAGCTTTATTGAAAAGACTAAAACTGGTGATGGACACTTACTGCATACTTCACATGCTCACCGTCCTTAATCTCATACACATGCTCCTACCCACTGTATTTCTTTTGTGTTCTCTGCATGTCACTTCTTTCAAACTTAACACTTCTGCCACACTCAGCTTGAACTGATCATTGTAAGCCGTTAGCTACACTTGCTTCTGGCTGTTGTCTTGTGTTACTGCTATAATGGGCTTTATTACAGTGTCATATAAGAACATACAAGGGAAATCCGAAGGGGGAGTTCCAAAGTATTCTTTTCCTTGTTTTTCTCCTATATGTGTGTGTTTAAGAACCAAAATTATGCTCCAGTGTTGCCCTTCTTATCTCCAACTGTTAATGACAATCATTTATCCTTGACCCATGAAGTATATTTAATGAGAGCTGTGTGCTTTTTGTGCATGATATTTACCTTATTTCAGCTTTTCATTAACACCCAGTTTCATGAATACTACAGTCTGTGTGAATTTAGGCAGAAGTACTCATTTTCCTTCTATATGTTTCCATTCATCCCATTATGTATCCCAGTTTCGATTTTCTGATTTTTTTCATTGCTTAGCCTCTTTTTATTGGGCGATTTAATAATCATCAATTTCCTGTTGGGAAGGGTCTCACTGCAATACTCATGGGACCATTTGTAGACTTTCTCTCTTAATCTATGCCTCCATGGTTTAAATACTGACACCTACACACTTTTGGATCTCACTCTACTCTTGTATAATTATTTATAATTGTAACTAAGTAGCTAAATCTACAAGGGCCATACAGCTCTTTCTTTTATAGAGTCTTTCTATTTGCTCTTCTATAGCACTTGACATGATTGGTCCTATGGTTTCTGTTTTACATGTCAGTGATCACTTTCTGTTCACCTCGATTATATGCCCAACCCCTGTTTCTCCCACTAGCAGTTTGAGCAGGTGGATCTGGTCACTTTAATTCATGCCAACCCTTTTTGTTCTTGGCATTCTGCCACTCCCCTTCACCATCCACTGCCCTGCTGTTATCCGTAACCTATTACTCATCCATCTCCCTTTTGCCACCTGATGCCCTCGCTTCCTTCCTGCCCTGCAGCGCTGTATAGTCCTTGTGGCTTAGCGCTTCTTTTTGATTATAATAATAATAATAATACGTTGAGGGTCCAAACCATAGATCTACATCATGAGCTCAGCTCAGTCTGATAAGCTGTGAGCGGTAAATTTTGGCCTAGATATGAGAGAATACATTTATGTGGTATGTGTGCAGCACATAAAACAAATCCTGAGAGAAAAAAACTGAGACCATAACTTTCGATTAAAACAGCAACTTTGCAGTGTTTTTTCGTATGTTTTTTATAGTTATATTTGGAATTTCTTAGCCTCATTTAATAGAATGGAAGATATATTACAGAAATAGAGATGATTTTGATTGGTTTTAGTACTGGAAATGGCTTGAAACTGTGCTCAAAGTAGTGGAAATGTTAAATTTTTGCCAATGTTCAAGAGTAAACAAATGACCTCACACATCTAATACACGCCTGCTGGTGGGTCTAATATACCTTCACAAATGTGGTGATATTAATTATACAATTATTACAATATTGCATAACAGTAAATCTTCTATTTTTTGGTTTGAATAAAAATTCATTGTGAATAAAAAATCAAAATGGAATTCATTAATAAAGCCTGAAAATGTAACTAATGAACAGAGGAAATGTTAGTTTAGTGCCAGGAATGCCTGCATTGTTTATTCTGGACCCTATTTTGAAATTGGAGTACGTATTCTGAACTTAGTATTAATACATGTATTGGCCAAATTACCAATTTCCAATCACTTTATTTTGTAGTTGAAACAGTTGACTTGGCGAATTCTTGTGCTCAATAGATAGAATAGAAGTAATACTAGTGAAATAGCTAAGAATTTGGTCGACTGGAATAATATAATTGGCCTAAAATGGAAGTCAAAGTCGGCAAAATCGCCGATTCGTAAATATCGCTGACACATCAAAATTTGCAAGAACATAATTTTGTCAATTTTCCATCAAATTTCGTACTTTTTGTTTTATTAACTTCAGAAAAAGATTCTCTACCATTTCATAAGAAAAAATAACAAAATTATTTTTTGAAAATTCTTGGACACTGGTGCACACTTTGAAATTTGGCCTCTAGACCCTGAAAGGGTTAAATGTAGTACTGTATATTACGTGTGGGTAGGGTGGGCTGACCTGGCTAGCTACCATACCTCCCAGACCTGACTTCCTACAAATTAAACTCACCTCTCACCCTGTATGAAGACTACAAATATTTTAAGGTAAGTAATAGGTGTACTGTGTGTGTATTTTACTTTTTATTGTTTTTAATGCCTAGTTCTCTTGCTAACTTAATATATGTTAGTGTAAACTTGTTACTTGGCATTTATATGCATTTATAAGTGGAAAAAATGGCGTTCTGCTTTCCAGCAGTAGCCTAGAATCTAACCTGCTGTATAAGTGGGGCCCTACTGTATTCATGTTAAACGTTTGAATTCTTTTCTTTCAATCTTTTCCCACAATGACCAGGTGACCCAAAGAAGAAAGTATTAACTTTCTGGCCTGGGAAATGGGTAACTAGCCCTTTGTCCTTGAAATTTTAGTCTCCTATAATAAGCATGGTTTATCAGGGAAGAATTCTAACCAGTATACTCATGGGGGTGGGGAGATTTGAATTTTTTTTTTTTTTTTAACTGTCAACCCTGGTTTAGGTAAATAACATAAAAAAATGGAGCATTCTTTGTCTTTCTCTTTGAACTCATAATTATTAACCATATGATCTTGCAGATTGTTTGAATCAGTTGCCCGTTCTTGTATGGTGCAGAAAGTATCAACTACTCGGGACGGGGAGGCCTGACCACAAATGCTTCAAACGTATTGTGCTCCACAAGATACCTGACTAAACACATCTCCAACGGAGGCAGCAATCCAAGCACTGTACTTCAAGTTGCAAGATTTAAGGACATATGGCACAGGATTGTGTTACTGCTGACTGTTGGTGCTCTGAATATCATGATAGAGATCTCAAGCAGCCAAAACTGTCTTAGTGATTTGAGTTATTTAGCTGAAAGCTATTTAATATATAGAATGAAAATGTTGAACATAATGACTTGACAGATACTGTTTGTCCCCATGAAAGCTGCAATTAATGTTGCTTTAAAGGGGACTGCCAAGTGCAAAGTAAAAGTTATTGGCATATTGTGACAAATGTGTCAGGTAGAGTTTTGTATTTGTTTTAAATGGAGCATTATACATGTTATCTTCTGGTGCCTAAAGAGACAAACTTGGTATCTGTAAAATGCAGATCAAATCTGTTCCAATTTTAACCCAAGTGATTTATAAAGTAAAGGGTTAAATGACAAATATTCTTTATAGAATGCCTAAATAATTATGCAGCTTAGTCATTTCCTGAGTGATTTATCCTTGACTATAATATAGTAAATGTTTTACTTGTTGGGCCACAGCAGCAAGGTTAACTGTCAAGGTATGTGATTTTTAAGAATATGTAATAATTTCAGTTTTCCTGGTGACTGGTAAATTATGCAAACTTGAAAGACCAAAACTGTACAATCTACTTTATTAAGGACCTTCAGAGTGAAGTAAAAGTGCATCCTATGATGAATTATATATTTACAGATAAAAGTTTCTGTATGAATGGAGACACATTTATGAGACAAAGCAGCCATAAGCAGTGTGTCAAAGTACATAAAATGAAAAGATGAATTCCAATGAGTGATATGTACCTATATTTTGTGATCTTAACTTCCAGGGAACCATGTGATGAGCTATACCTAAGATGTTTAGATAATGTGATGTAGATTTCTATGACATGGCCTTTGCCAAGCAGCTTCTGCAGTAGGAAAGTGAGAATCAAAGTATTGGGCATCAGAGTTCATTATGAAGTGTTATTTCATAGGTTAACCGAAGTGGCTCATAATATAATAATTCAGTGCAATTATATGATAAATAATTTAGCCATTGGCCACTGTTAATGCCAAAGCTGACTTACGTTTGAAAAAACCTCTAGAGCATGGCATAATTTGACTTAAGTAATAGCACTTCATATTTTGCAGAAATGACCTTGGACACCAAAGCATGTACAAAATCCCATCCTCATTAGTTTCATAGATTTCACCTTTTAAGAAATTTCTTTGTAAGTATTGTAAAAAGTAATTATGATGCCCTGATGCCCTGAGGCTTTCTATCCTGCTGTACAGTTTCTAATTACACAAGGTTTGCAATAGCCACTATCTTAAACAATGCAGATCCGGGGTATAGTCAACTATGCCCAATGCCTCGTGTTCTGTTACACAAATTTTTATTTAAATGTTATAATTCATTCCCAGGTATTAACAATTAACCATGTGCATCCTAAAGGTGTAATGTTCCAGCAGCACAAATTTCAATTTTAATTGCTTTAATCCCAGGCTAATCTTTAGTTACCTTCTAGCTTTAAAAAAATTTGTTACCACATTACCAGGGACTATTTAATACTCTGATGCCTGGGAAATATACATGTTTATGCCTTATAATCCTGGAAATGTTATGTATACATAGTACCTGGGAATTAACACTTTTTTTCTGTTGCCTTGCTTCAAAGAACGTCACAGCTCTCTTATGACTTAAGGAATACAGATTTGTATTGCCATTAAATAATTATTATTTTGTAAAAATTATATTTTAAGAGTTGTTGGAAGCTTGAAGAAGGAAACATGAAAATTTACCCATAATGTGAGGTACTAGTTTGTGGCTGTACAATTCAATTTTATTTTTGTTGAGGACTTTCTCTAAAGATATGCAGTTTAACAGTTTGTGTCATATTCTTTAGTCCACTGTAGGTTAAGGATGTGAATAAAGGTCTCTTGTAGCAAAGCAAAAATATCTTTAATTGAAAATGTTAACCAAATTTTTTTTATGTAACATTTAATGTATTAATTACTTGACTGAAAATGTAAGTAGTTGACCAAAGATAAATTATTGTACAGGTAATTATAATACAGAATGCTTAGGTTTAGTGCTTTTTTTCTAATATACAAAATCCATATCGGCTTGGTGCTTCAGCATATTAACCCTTTTGGGGTTTCGGCCATACTAGTACGGCTTACGCACCAGGGTTTTTGATTTACTAGTACGCATAAATTCTAGCGCCCTCAAATCTAGCAAGAGAAAGCTAGTAGGCCTACATATGAAAGAATGGGTCTATGTGGCCAGTGTGTGCAGTGTAAAAAAAATCCTGCAGCACACAGTGCGTAATGAGAAAAAAAAAACTTTGACCGTGTTTTTGGTTTAAAACATCGACTTTGCACTGTATTTTCATATGGTATTTATTGTTGTATTCTAGTTTTCCTGGTCTCATTGTATAGAATGGAAGAAATATTACAGAAATTGAGATGATTTTGACTGGTTTTACAATGAAAAGTACCTTGAAATTGAGCTCAAATTAGCAGAAATGTTCGATTTTTACCAAAGTTCAAAAGTAAACAAATCATGCTAAGCGTCCAATACACATCAACTGGTGAGTCTAATATTCTTTCACAAGTGCGCCGATATTATTTATACAATTTCTACACTAATACAGTAGTCTGCATAACAGTAAATCTTTTTTTTTTTTTTTTTTTTTTTTTTTTTTTTTTTTTTTTTTTTTTTTTTTTTTTTTTTTTTTTTGTGAGAAAAAATGAAAGTGGAAAGCAAACGAAATGTAAGAGGGGCCTGGGGATGTGACTAATGAACAGAGGAAATGTTATTTTAGTGCCAGGAATGTCTTTCTTGTTTATTCTGGACCCTATTTGGAAATTGGCATCTTTTGAAATTTGTGTGAAATTGGCAAAATTGTTAAATTCTGACCACTTTATTGGATAGTTGAAATCGGTAAATGGGTGGTTTCTTGTACTCATTCGATAGAAAAAACGGAATTCTAGCGAACTAGTTATGATTTTTGTCGACTAGTACACTGGAATTGGCCGAAAATAGGGCTCAACATGGGCAAAATCGCCAATGCGTAAACATCGTCGAGACCGCTAACTTTGCGAGAGCATAATTTCGTAAGTTTTCCATCAAATTTCATACTTTTGGTGTCATTATGATCGGAAAAAGATTCTCTATCTTTTCATAAGTTTTTTTTTTTTTTTTTTTTTTTTTTTCGTGACACTTTGGGGGCCACCAGGTGGCCCCCAAAGGGTTAATGCAAAAGTCTAGGATTACCATCATGTAATTACCTCCTTGGTAATACCTCTCCTGTAATTGAGACATAAAATGTTCCATTCACTTCCAGCAGCATACCTATAGGAATCTGTCTCCCTGCTCTTGCAGCCCAGCCTGGAACTTGGTTTTTCTGTTGCCTTCCTGTTCAACCAGGCTGTTGCTGATGGGGTAGTGTTCTCATTTCATCTTGAAGACTTTTACACTTGTTCCAGTAATGTTTCTGATATCAGCTAATAGCAAGTTGAACAACCATGGCTTGTGTATGTTGAAACTTCCTTATTGTGCGCAGGCATTCATTCCTTTCACTGGGGCTATTTTATACTTCTTTCCATATCTCCCACTCCATTACATTATGCAGGTGCATAGGTTTGGGACTAGGCTTGGTCAAGGGAAGTCCCTCAACATGGTGGAGGGCTGTTAATCTGAGGAATTGGACTTCTGGTCTCCTTCTTCGAATTGAATTGAATTACGCCACATCCCTTCCCTCCCCTCCTATTCATCCAGACTTTGGGGATGTACCCTTGTAAATTACAGATCCTAGGCTAAGGAAAATAGGATCATTGCTCATCCTGTCCACGGCTTGCCTTTTTTTTTTTTTTTTTTTTTTTTTTTTTTTTTTTTTTTTTTTTTTTTTTTTTTACTCCAGAGTTGCTCGGTACCCTCAGGCCCCAGTTTTACCCTCTTTTGCAGTCACCCTTATGCAGGCCTTTCTTCTGATGCTCCTACCTCTTCGCTTTCTCCTATCCTCCTTCCTTTGTCATTTACCCTATGTGTTTCTCCATCCATACAGCCATCATTTCTTCTTTCAACTTCTCCAAAACCCAAAATTTCCCACTCGCCAAAAATCCCTCCCAGCTTATTGTTTCCCACACATTAACTTTTCATACCTCTGAGTCTTAACCTTTGTTTTCTCTTGTGTTGGTGACAATTGGCTTCTCCTTTGGCAGCTACCAGTGTTTATCTACTCTTTACTCTACTTACTTCTTCCCTCTCTTGCACCACACTTCCTACTTATCTGCAGAAAGTATGGAAGTCGTATCAGCTTTTATTGAAAAGACTAAACTGGTGATGGACACTTACCTTGCATACCTTCACATTCTCACCTTCCATAATCTCTTACACATGCTCCTACCCACTGTCTTTCTTCTTGTGGTACCTGCAAGTCACTTCTTTCAAACTTAACACTTCTGCCACACATCAGCTTGACTGATCATTGTAGCCCGTAGCTACCACTTGCTTTCTTGCTGTTGTCTTGTGTACTGCTAATGGCTTTATTACAGTGACATATAAGAACATACAAGGGAAATCAAGGGGAGTTCCAAGTATTCTTTTCCTTGTTTTCTCCTATATGTGTGTGTTTACAAGAACCAAAATTATGCTCCAGTGTTGCCCTTCTTATCTCCAACTGTTTAATGACAATCATTTAATCCTTGACCCAATGAAGTATTTAATGAGAGTGTGCTTTTTGTGCATGTTAATATACCTTATTCTCAGCTTTTCATTCACACCCAGTTTCATTATACTACAGTCTGTGTGTATTTAGGCAGATAGTACTCATTTTCTCTCTATATCGTTTCCCTTCATACCCATTATGTATCCCCAGTTTCGATTTTCTGATTTTTTCATTGCCTTAGCCACTCTTTTTATTGGGCGATTTTAATACTCATCATTTCCTGTGGGAAGGGTCTCACTGCAACTCATGGGGACCATTTGTAGACTTTTCTCTCTTATCTATGCCTCCATGGTTTAAATACTGACACCTACACACTTTTGGATCTCACTCATACTCTTGTATAATTATTATAATTGTAACTAAGTGCTAAATCTACAAGGGCCATACAGCTCTTTCTTTTATAGGTCTTTCTATTTGCTCTTCTATAGCACTTGACATTAATTGGTCTATGGTTTCTGATTTACATGACAGTGATCACTTTCTGTTCCCCTCGTTCATATGCCCAACCCCTCGTTACTCCCACTAGCAGTTTGAGCAGGTGGACTGGTCACTTTATTCATGCCATACCCCTTTTTTTCTTGGCATTTGCCCTCCTTCATCCTCAAGACAAGTTGTTACAACTAATTTCCTCCTCTCTTCTGACCACAGTTCCCCAAATCTCAGGTAGACATTCTTGGAAATGTGTGCCCTGGTGGTCTCCTGCCTGTGCTTGTGCAGTGAAATTGAAACTTTATGCATGGAGCTGCTACCATTACAATAGAACCACTGATTGGTTCCTGGATTTTAAATGGGTGAGTGCTTTTGCCCATTGTGTAATTTGGGAACAAAATGTACATGTTAGCAGGCTTGTGTATCTACTAGTCAATTCCATTACTACTTTAGGCACAGTTTTGAAAAAAGTACCTAAGTTGAGTGGCAAGTACTCTCCAGACCTTGGTCTTATTGTTATGATTGCTGGTATCAGTGTTACAGACCCTTTTGAGGGTGCCACAGCATTTGGGTATTGTCTTGACCATTTATCTCCAATGCTGCAAGAGGCAACACCTTTAGATTTTACTTCTTGATTTGAGGAGCCTTATAATGTGCCCTTCATGCCCTGCAAATTTGAGTCAACACTTTTTACTTGCAATCCATATCCAGCTAGGCCCGATGGCATCCATATCTGTGTGTTTCAACACTTGCACTCTGCAACGCTTGTCATCCTCTTACATATCGTCTCGGAGTTCTGCCGCATCAGTGGAAAACGCTGTTCATCCTGCCTTATTGTAAGTGAGGTACTGCGGGCCATGACAGCTGTCACTACAGACCCATTGCTCTTGCTAGTGCAGTTTGTATGTTGTTAGAACACCTGGTTAACAAAAGTTTTATATGGTATTTAGAAACCCATAATTGTCTCTCCCTTCATCAGTTAAGTTTTGTAGGGGTCCATCTATCTACCCCTTAATCCACTTAGATACCTGTGTTTGTTCAACCTTTTATTCCACTTAGATACCTATGCTCATAAAGCTTTCACTAATAAACTCAGTTATTGCAGTCCTTTTTTTTATTTTGTAAAATCTTATGACAGCATCTGACATTACATCTTAGCTGAGACTCATTCTTTGGACTTTCAGGGATTTACCACATTTCCTTAAGGATTCCTCGTTAGAGAGGCACTTCTTTGAGTTAACAGTAGTTTTTATTGATTTCACCCAGGATGAAGGCATTCCTCAGATGCTTGCTGTTAGCCCTTTCACTGTTGGGACCCCCAAAATTTAAAGTGCTGACAGGTGCTTTTTATTTTTTACATTGGGTTTGACAAAGTTAAGGATCCCAAGCTTTATTGACAAGCTATTTACAGGTTAAGGGTTCCTAACTTTATTGACAAGCTAAGAGCTGTTACCTACATCAGCTCATTTGAAAGCATTTTTGTTATTATGAGACATACAAGTAGGGAACAGGATGAAGTTGGAGCCATCTGTGGGCCAGCATTTTCATTTGATCAACTGACTTTATCTCGTTGACATCATAATGCTGTACGAATGTGTTTGAGACTCCAGTCATCCTGGGAATAAATGATCTCAGATGAAGTGATGTTCTGGAGAAGGGTACAGCCAGAATGAAGTTGCTGCTTTCTGCCCATCTTGTGGTATAGAAGCTTGCTTCGCGTTGTCCTCGAATTTGGATCCAAGTGTGGTACTTTGACAATATTGGCCTTGTACATAACAGTAAGGCCACCCACATCC